ATAGACCCTAGCTGTGGGGAAGTCACATAGTTATTTTTGCCTTAGTTTCCTCATCTGTAAAATGAGCTGGAGAAGGAGATAGCAAAACCACTTCAGTATCTTTGCCAAGAAAACCCCATTTGGGGTCATGAAGAGTCAGACAAACTGAAAGAACTGAACAAAAGCTATATATGTGTTTGTGTGTGTGTGTGTTCTTGTATATACAAATACATATGTACACATATGTATGTGTGTATCATATATACACATATACATGTGTGTATCACATGTGTGTATGTATGTATATGTATATGTATATATATATACACACATATGCAGATTCATATACATATACATGTATAATGTTTTCCAGGGTTTCCTGGATTGGGAGATATGAGTGAAGTGAACAAAAAATACTCTGAGGGGTACCTGGGCCTTCATGTCATGAGAGAGTCTTTGACAAAAGGATTATACTAGAACCACTTAAAGGAATTAGAGATGTTTAGTCTAGAAAAGAGAGGAATGGAGGGGTCGGGGTGGATACAATAGCTATCCTCAAGTATTTGACTAACTGGAGAGTGGGAAAAGGATTAGACTTGTAGAATCCTTCCCACTCTCCACTGCTGGATTTTTATCCAGGTCTTACCTACTAACCATGGGTGTTCTCTGTCCCTCCAAGACTCCCCCCCCCATAATATTTCATTTAGTGATCTCACCATCTCCCATGGATTCAGTTATCATCTCCATCAAATGATTCTCAGATTTATTTATCCAGCTCCTTACCTCTCTCCAGACCTCCAGTCTTATTTCTCCTACTGCTTATTATATATCTCAAATTTGATGTCCAGAGATATCTTAAACTCAACATGTCCAAAACTGAAGTGAGTAACTTTTCCCCAAAATCTTCCTCTGTCCTTAATTCCTTATTACTGTTAAGGGTACCACTATCCTCCCAGTAACTCAGGGAAGATGGCATCAGTTTCCAAGTCTTGCTTCTGACCTTTGTAACATCATTTGTATACATATATACCACTTTATCTCCTCTGGCAACCACCCTGATATAGGCCTTCATCACCCCACACCTGGACTATTGCAGTATTCTTCTGGGTGGTGCCCCTGCCTCAAGCCTCTGCCCACTCCAGTCCATCCTCCATTCAGCTGTCGAATCGAACTTCCTAAAGCATAAATCTGACCATCTTACTTCTCTCCCACCTTCAGTAAACTTCAATGGTTGCCTATTATATACAGAATTAAATATAAAATCCTTATAAGCTGATCCCTTCTTAACTTTCTAGTTTCTTATACCTTCCTCATATCCACATTATCTTCAAACCATTGACACTAGCCTCCTTGCTGTTTCTTGAATGAGATACTTCATCTGCTAACTCCATGCATTTTCACCAACCATTTACCAAGCCTAGAATTCTCTCCTTCATCTCTACCTCCTGTTTTCTCTGGTTTCCTTCAGGTCCCAACTAAAATCCCATCTTCTGCAAGAAAACTTACTTGATCTCTCTTAAGATTAGTTTCCTCCCTCTGTTGATTATCTCCAATTTGCCCTGCATATATTTTATTTGTGTGCTACTTATATGTTGTTTGCATGCTGTCTATCCCATTAATCTGTGAGCTCCTTGTGAGCAGAAACTGTTTTTGCTTGTTAGTTGGTTGGGTTTTTTTGCCTTTCTTTATATCCCCAGCACTTGGCACCATGCCTGATACACAGTAGAAGCTTAATAAATGCTTATCACTTGATTTGTGTGTTTTGCCAGAATGAGAAATAATGGGTAGAAACTGAAAAGAAGTAGCTTTAACTCAATATAAGTAGCAAATTTCTAATAGTTAGCATACTACAAAAGTGGAAAGGGCTGATTCATTAGGTAGTAAGTTCCATTTCACTGAAAATCTTCAGATAGAGCCTGAATGACCACTCTGGTCATTAATAGATAAGAAATTCCTATTCAAGTACAAGTTAAATTAAATGACCTCTAAGTCTGAGATGCTATGATGTTATTATTGACTGGCTTGGCTGAAACAATATATTTAAATAGGAGAAAAGTGGAGGATAAAGTTAAAAAGATTATAGTGGGCCTTGAATGCCGGGCTGAAGAGCATAAAATAATGATTATTAGACAGAGCTGGAATGTGATATCATGTAATATTATTTTTGCTGGAGTTTACTTCTAAAATTCCAGAAGGTGGAAAAGGATCTGAAAAGCTGTGGATAGAGTTTGTTTTCATACATCTGAAAACTGTCATCCCAAGCTAAATGAAATATATTTTTAAAAATTATTTCCCTTACAGAAAAAATCAAATCAAATAATCCAGCTTTAAATCTCTGATTCTATGATCCTGTGTGACCCACAGGAAGGAAACCCCTGGGTGTAGTGGTGTTCCCTTGCCTATAAAACCCACTACTGGAAAGACAAAGACTTCTGGCACCATTATAATGAACCACTGTATGGGAAGGCAGGGGCCAAACTCAAGGAGGGACCAACCAGACCAAACTGGAAATAAGTAGGTCAAAGCTTCCATGTGTATTAGCTGTAGGATAAGGCTCTGGAGCCATTGTTCTTCCAACCTAGGAGTGAAAAACAAGCAAGAAAAAAAGGAGAGAGAAAGAGAGAGAGAAACAGGGAGAGAAGAAGAAAGACAAAAAGAAAGGAAGAAAGGAAGGAGGGAGGGAAAGAAGAAAGGAAAACAGAAAGGAAGAGAGGGAAAGAGAGAAAGAAAGGGAGATAGAGAAAGAAAAGAAGCAAGGAAGAGAGAGAAAAAGGGAAAAAGGAGAGGGAGAAAGAAAAGAGGGAAGAAAGAGAGAAAGGAAGGAAAAGAGAAAGGGAGAAAGACAGGAAGGAAGGAAGGAAGGAAGGAAGGAAGGAAGGAAGGAAGGAAGGAAGGAAGGAAGGAAAGGAAGAAGGAAGGAAGGAAGGAAGGAAGGAAGGAAATCTCTGTTCATCTATCTGTAAGTCAACAATTTTCCTTTATTAACTGTAGAGTCAAGATTCCCAGGTGATTCTTTTCTCAGTATTCATATAAAGGCAAGAGTGTGCTGGTAAATGTTTAACAACCAGCTTGGGGGAAGGGAGATGTTCTCATAGCACACTTTCAAGTTTCATCTGCATTATTAACATTTTTTTAAAGTCTAGACAATCAACAAAACAATAAATCAAGCCCTGATTTATAGTAGTTGCCAATTTCCAAGGTGCAAATGCTCACACTGAAAATTTAATAACCAGCTTGAGTTCACCCCTGCATAAAAGTGAATCTTGAGCTGGAAATAACCTTTGTTACACAAATGTTGTACATGCAGGTAAACACACACACACACACACACACACACACACACACACACACACACACACACACACACACACACACACACACCCCTGTCTAATCCATGGCTCAAGTCCCCAGCTGGAGATCTGGTTTATCTCATCTAGCCAGAGCTCCAAGTAATCGAAGCACTTTTGAGCACCCATCAGAGGCAACAAATGTTTTGGACCGACAGTAATGCAGAACTACCTTAGGCTCATTTATTTGATTCTGCAGCAACATATCTTGTGCCTTTTATCTTCTAAACCAATCTCATTTATGCTTATTTCATTTCCCCTCAATGGGGAAAGAAAACAGACCAAGTAAAGGGTCTAGTGTCCATTTGACCACTATACAGAAATCATAAAAGTGATGTAGACACAAAGCTTGAAAATTAAATCCCTCTGTATTGCCCTCAGAAATCATCCATAAAATATTTAATAAAATTAATCATGTCATTGATTCAATGCAAAACTTTCCCTAGCTTCCATCCTTTAAAACTCTAACTCAGTAGACTAGGAGACAGCATGATATCACGGCTAAAGTGTTGGAAACTCAAATGCTTCTTAGCCGTGTGACCACAAGTAAGTCACTAAACGTCTCTGAGCCTCAATTTCCTCATCTGCAAAACAAGAGTGATTTTTGCAGTCCTTATCTCATAGGTTTATTGTGAGAATCAAATATAATAAAGAATATAAAGCATTTTACAAACGTTAAAGTGCCATAAAAATGTCAGCAACTGTTTTTCTTTTTGGTTTTTTGTTTTGTTTTGTTTTGTTCTTTTTTAATGTCTTTCCTCTCTTTGGGAATCTCCAGACTTCTTTGACGCAATGGTTGTGAAAAATGAGTTTTAAGAACTACTTTGGGTCTGTACCCAAACCATCATTCACTGGATAAGCACCAAACAAGTTGGTGTCTTGAGTTCCGGAGTTTCTAACCCAAGTTTATTTCCTAAATTCTTGTTCCCCAATCTTCCACTGATGCCGTCCATGCTGTATAGTCTTAGAGGCGTCAGTTGGATTTCCTCGGGCTTCAGTTCCTTAAAGGGAGGCTGTGAGGACTCACCTAAAGAGTGTTTAAAGCACTTCGTATTTATAGTTTTATAGAAAGGCCCTTAGCATATTTCTTTAAAAAGGTTAACTACCTTGAGATTTAGAACAGATGCAGTTCCAGTATACAAACAGGGCAACGCATCTTAAAAAAAGCCCACACACATTCCTCTTCTAAGGAATTTGTTTTCCTTTCTTCCTTCCCTGTTGCCTTCCTCTTCCTTTACCCTTTCTCCTTTCCTCGAACTCACTTTTCCAACTCTTCTACTTTTCCTTTCTCCCTTTCCCTCTTTGTCTTCCTTCCTAAGGAAAAGCATATCTTGCGCACCCACCCACCTCCTTTTCTCTTTTAATAACCACTACAGAAACAAACTCATAAAAACAAAGAAAATCACTCTTTGGGGAATCAGTGGTCAGGGCAGGAAGCCTCCATCTAGGGGAGACAAGAGGGTATTTGCTTTACAATTCACCCCACATAGAGACAGTGACGAAAATGATTCGGGGGAAGGTGGCAAAATGATATTTACTTTGCCTACAGGAAGAGCGCGCCTGATCTCTTTGACAGCATCGACCTGAGGAAATGAGTCTCACCTCTAGGAGTGAGACTGTGAAAGAACGTACTTTCGAAGAGGGTCTCATTGTAATTGTCCTAAATAGAAGGAAAGGGTGTGAAGGCGGAGCTAACTAGTGAAACCGCGTCACCCAGAAGTTTCAACTTCTTGCTCTCACTAGCGTTCGTAAGACTCTGGGGAGGTGGCACGGGAAGGGTGATCGCCCATTCAATGGAATGCAGATGTCCCTTTAAGGTTTGCCTCTCTCTCAGTGGACTTTAGCCTAAACACGGACTGGAAGCTTGCTTTATTTGTACATGAGCACAGACTCTGGGAATCAGCCAGTTGCAATTTCAAAGACCGAGAAAGAAAAGGGAGGGGCGATGTGGCAATTCATCTTGGATGTGAAAAGTGTGGAGAGGACTTAGAGGCATTTGCCGAAAACACAGGAAATCACCCCTCGGCGGCTGCTGCCACTGCTGCTGCTGCTGCTGCCACTGCTGCTGCCTCCGCTGCTTGGAGAGCTGGCGGAGAAGCTCAAAGGCAGCGAGCGCTCCGGCCACAGTTCGCTCAGGGCAGACTGCAACGCGTCCCAACTGAGACTCGGAGCCCTAGGGAGCCTGCCCTGCCTCTCTTGCCCTTGCCAAGCTGGTCATGGCCCGCCAGCGCTGCATCAGCCCAGGTGTCGCTGTCGCATGCTGGTTGCTTACCGGTGAGAAATCCCATCTTTCTTTAAGCATCGTCTCCCACTTTGCTTAAGGGAAAAGTGAAGAATAAGGGTGTGAGGCTGAGTTTCAGGATAAATAGAGTTGTGGAGAAAAGAGGGAAAGGAAAAGCAATAAAAACGCTTTAGGTTTTGGAGCCAGTATGGGCAGGTTAGAGTGTAAAAGGAGTGTTTTGTGTTTGGTTTGACTAAGAATTTGTTCTGATTTTTCACTCTGGGGTTAGAGGATAAGGGAGGACTGTTCACAACTGTAAACAGTAGGTGAAAATAGGATTTTAAATTAAAGCCCTTTTGCGATGGAAAATAACTTAGTGTTTCTATGTTTGGAGTTTAGCGGGTGACTTTTGTTTGGGGGTGGAGGGGCAGTGCTAAGCTGGGGAAGGAAGGTGGGCAGCCACGCAATCTATGCCAAATTCAAATCTCTGTATTCACGTTGCTCATGAATCGAAATATTGTATGTTCTTGGCATCCTGATTTCAAAACTATCTCTGCTTCAGGGCTAGGGAAAGAGACATACACAACTTTTTTTCCCCCCCTGATCCTGAGGTGATGTTAGGTCATTCTGCTGTGGGGATGTCGTGAAAGGGGCAGAGGACACAAGAAAAGTTTGAAAGTGAGAAGGAATTGTAAACATTTAACTCTGTAAACTCCAAAAGGAACTGGGCAAATAAGCAATGTTATCTATAGTATTCACTTTTTCGTTTTGTTTTCCCTAACACTTTTCCAGCAAGTGATAGGTAGGAATCTACATGTGAAGTGCCAGGAATGTAGAAGAGTTGGGAGAGGGGGTGGCTCTCCTGGACTGTGATACTAGAGTTACTAAAGGCTTACATATAGTATTTTTTAGATGTATCACAAAAAATGTCTAACTTGCTAGTATGTAGTCTATTTTTAGATTTTTATTAAAGCTGCTATTCTGTGCACACATTTCTTTTTGACTGAAAAGAAAAGGGTCATTGCTAACTTTTGTAAAGAGACTATTTAAATGGATGAAATTATTAACAAGCAGAAAACTTGGTTCTTCATAAGATGGTTGAAAGGGGGAAGGAAAGGACTCTTGTGGAACTATTGTGGTGTGTGGGCCCTTCATCCTCACACTTAACAACTCACAGGCAGTTTCCAGTAATATAAACAGTGGTCACACAAGAACAGCATTGCAAGCCAGTGAGCTCTTTAATTTACCAGCTACTGTCATTACACACAGACACATATTTGGAAATACTTAGCTGGATTTGAGTTGCTCAAGACCAGGATAATCTTTACCACTGACAAAGTTGTTCCTTATCATTTTATAAAATGAATCACAGGGGCCAAAGACCACTTTACTATTACCTACATAATAGGTAAAGATGAAATTTAGAGGAACAGAATAAGTAGAAAGGTGGTATTTTCATAAAATGTCAAAGGCTTATAATATCTTCAATATCAATTAATTCTATTTTCCCTATACTTCAGTTACCACTTGGTTGTAAAGGAGTCATTTAGGAGAATACATTAACTCTTTCATGACCAATGAACCCAGAGACAGCAGAGATGGCAATCTGGATAGGAAGTTATCTTTCTTATGGTCTTTACAAATATACATCTGCACACATATATGTACATGTGCATATACATATATATATGCATATATTTGTATACATATGTGTGTGTATATATAATAGCTGAATTAAAATAAGAATGACAGATCATAGGAGCATAGATTTAGAGCTGGAAGATAACCCAAAAGCCGTCTGGTCCAACTCCCTCACTTTATAGATGAGGCAACCTTTTCTCCATCTTCAAACAAGTACCAAAAGGATAATGACATTCCTTATATCTAATTCTTTCCCTAAGAAGTTTCATGTGTTTCATTAAAGCTTTTAAAATTACTATAATTAATGCAATAATATTACACCTAATCCTATAATGAGCCAAGATAAGAAAAAGCTTGGTCATCAACAGGTCCCCTAAATGAAGACATAATTAATTTGAATCCCCAAAGATTTAGTTCATCTTATTCCTCATATGATTTCTCCATTTCCTTCATTTCTTATACCCAATCAGTCACTAAATTTCATCAATTTTTCCTCAGTTATATCTAATTCATCCCTTCCTCTCCACTGCAATGATTATTTCTCTAGCATAGACTCTTGTCAGTAAACATCTATATTGCTACAGTAACTTATTTCTGCCTCTAAATTCTATGCTTCTAATTTATCCTTTATGTTTTTTGTCAGATAAATCTTCCTAAAACATAACTTTCATCATAATAGGTCCTTACTCAAAAACCTGTAATAGCCCCCTATTGCCTATTGAATGGAGCTCAAATTCTTCATTATAACATTCCAGGCCCTCTGTGGTCTTATCTCACATTATTTATCCCACATTTCTCTCTCTAGTACATAGGAAGTTCATAGATTTTGGAGCTGGAAAGAATTTTAGAAACACCTTATGCCAAGCACAGTGGCTTGCCTTGGTCTGCCTCATATCACACAAGGTCATAAGCCCTCATGCCAATCATCTTTTACCCCCATCCACCCAAAAGCATCATCCTCTTTTCTTCCACCACATAGGTGCTTTTTATTCTATTCATCTCTTTCCTGCCTCTTCACCTCTCTACAAGTTGGCTGTCCTTCAGAGTCTAAAAGCTTTCTCCAGGATCTTCAGTTCCCATTCATCTCTTCTTTTTATGAACTATCATTGCAATTATTTTAATACTTGTAGTTTATTATACAGACTCGTAATTTGTTTGGTTTCTCAATGTGTAAGTCATATACCATCCCCAACAAGACTGCCAACTTATTGAGAGCAGGTGCTATGTTTTATATTTCCTTTGTACTGAGTTGTGTCAAACTCAAATAAAAATGAGTCCCCAGTGTGGCACATTTATTTAAAAAAAACACAAATTAACATTATTTATACTGTATTGTATTTTTATTTATTTTGTTATTCATTTCCAATTATATTTTAATCTGGTTTGGGCAGCCCTCTGAAGTCTTGAGGGCCATTTGCATCCCTGGGCCCTGAGCCTCCAAGACTCAAGGGATCGTCTGGCATAGGAAGAAAGGAGAATGATTAAATCTTTCTGGAGAGGTTTGTTTGCTGTTCTGGTACAGTGGAGAGAAGACTGAACTTTTGCTACTTACTACCTAAATGACCTAAATGACCTTGGAAAAGTCACCTACCTTCCTGGGCCTAGAATTCCTCATCTGTAAAATGAAGAGTTCCATTAAGCCCTGCACAGCAAACTTATTGTGACTCCCTTCAGAGAATCATAGATTTAGAGCTGGAAGAGACCCTGAAGGTCAGCAAGAAGATCTAGATCCATTATCTATGATCATATTATCTGAGTTTTGCAATTATTACAAGTTTTCTCAATAGCCTAATCTAGTGTTTATCATTTTGTTGCCCAGTAGTTCTTCCTTATGTTCTACACAGCTATTTTCCACTTTAACCCATTCTTCCCATGAAAACCTCTAGACATGAAGCATTATATTACCAAGTTAGTAATTTTACTTTACTTCAGTAATTTTGTGACCAGTGAAGAATTATTGGAATGACTGATTATATCTCTGCCTACTACTATCAAAATATAAAGGGGAGCATTTGGCTTTCAAAAATGCAAATATGGTTTTAGCATTAAGTCATTCTATATATAGCTCACAAATATGTCTTAGGCAAGGCTTTGAATAAGATCTTCTACACACAAGATTTCCTGTTCCAAATGAAGCTGGCAGGTAGTCAAGATACTTAATCAAAATGAGAGGAGCCAAAATGTTAGAGGGGCTGTTAACAATGGCAAAAACAAAACGTAAATGGTTTAATGTCTTATTCAAAAAGTGTTTATTAATGGAGTGATATTAACTGGGTAGGGTGGGAGGGGGCAGGTTTCTGTCCTGAGTCCTCTTCTATTCCAAAAATTTATCAGTAACTCTTGTGAAGGCAAAAATGGCAACCTTAGTAAATTTGTAGATGATACAGATATGAGAGAATTTTTCTAATATGTCTGTTTGAAACAACTGGAATTGAAAAAGATCATTGCAGACTGGAAAGAAGGGCTGAAAACAGACAAACAAAAACCATAAAATGTAATAGGAATAAATGTAAAGTTCAAAATGTTTAAAAAAAATGTTGTGTAGAGGTACTGGGATGAAGATTAATGGCTAGAAAGTAGGTTAAGCAAAAAAGATCTGGAGGTTTTAGTTGGCTACAAGCTTAACAGGAGTAGGCAGCATAATGTGGCTGCCCCTCCCCCCAGATTAATGCAAATCTGTTGTTGTTGTTGAGGTGGAGTCATTTCTGACTCTCTGTGACCCCATGTGGGGTTTTCTTGGCAGAGATACTGAAGAGGCTTGCCATTTCCTTCTCCAGCTCATTTTAAAGATGAAGAAACTGAGGCAAACAGTTAATTGATTTGCCCAGGGTCACAGAGCAAGTAAGTGTGTGAGGCTGGATTTGAATTTAGGTCCTCCTGATTCCAGGGCTGGTCCTCTCTATCTGCTTTGATGAAATACTCTGTACTGGTCAAATCACATTGAAGTACTGGGTTTAGTACTGGACACCACCTTCTAGGAGAGACATTGATAAACTAGAGCATGATTAGAGAAAGGCAATCAGGATGATCAAATGATCCCAAAATATGTGAGAATCAGTTGAATAAACAAACAAAAATATACAAATATATAGGTAAAAATATAGGTGTGTATATATATATATGTATATGTATATACATATGTGTGCATACATTCATGTATGTGTTGTATATGCATGCATATTTTATTCATTCATATATGCATATACATATATGTGTGTATACATATATACATACACATATACATATACATTCACATATATATATATATATATGAAAGGTTGTCTGGAAGAGGGATTGCATTTACTTGACTCAAAGGTGAAGAGAGAAGGAGGCAAATTTAAGTTTGACGTGAAGCATTCAAAAATGGAATGGGCTAGCTCTTGAAATAATGAATTCCCCATCACTGATAGTG